CGTGTCGCGCGCCACGCCTCGCCACGCCGCTCATTCAGGGGATGGTCACTTTAAGACCTTCATTTCTCTCCACGATGGAAAGTCCTCTTCGATTGATTTTTTTTTCTTCCACCCTCCACCGTGGAGTTCCTTTACCCCCTGCGGGTTTTCCAGCCGTAGTAGCCCCGTCCGAGCCCGCTGACGAATGCGCGGGGCTTTAAAGTTTGGCCTATGCGTGCTGCGTGGTTTGCGGGGCGAGGGGAGGGCGGGGGGGAGGCTGACTCCACGAAATGACCCAGAGGTTCCATGATGTCCCTCTTCACCCCCGCCCCCTTTTTCTGCCAAGCAAGAGATAGGGAAAGGGGGTAGTAGCTGCTGTGCGCGGGCCATCCCGCGCTGCGCACAAATTATGCACGAATTCGTTTTTATCGAGTCTGTTTGGCGGCGGCCGGGACGATTGCGGCGCTGCGGTTGTCGGGGGAGGGCCTACCCGGGAAACACCGAGATATGCCGCGTCATTTCGTCAACGCGTCGCCCCGCTTTTATCTCCCTTTCTCCTTTTTAATAACGCCCCTCGCTACGCGTTCGTAGGAGCAGGGGCCCCGAGCGCTGCGCGTGATGTGGCGGATTGCTTTTCGCGTCGCGTTGGTCTTCTCGGAACAGTCACTCGTGACTCTGTAGCTTCCTGTGTGTTGCCTAGCCCCCACCCCCCTCCCCCTCACGATTGCAAGTTCCACCGGTCTCTTTGGTACGCCTGAGTTTGTTTTCCCCCGGAGTATATTTATACCTTTTTTTTTCTCGGGCTGCTTTTCAATTTTCGATGCCGGCATGCCATGCGGCATGCCGGCCGCCGGGCTGGGCCCCTCTCCACAAAGAGAGTTTTAACAAGGCAAACTCCAAGGCAGATGATGCAAACATGGGAAGTGAATGATTTTTATTTCCTGCCGGGTCCCAATAACGATTGCTTCTACGCGGAGAGCAGACTATAATGAGGAGCATGTCGCAGTCTCTTGCGTCCCCGCCGAGCCGAGGTGCGGCAGGAGGACGGGCTAGATTTGTGTGGAAATACAATTCAGCAATTAATTTAGCCCCCCCCCCCCCCGCCCCATCCATCCTCACCCCACACAATTCCGCTCCTGGTGAGGCGCGTTGATTTTAAAACAGGCCCTTTTGTTTCTCTTTGCAGGAATTTCGGGCGACGTCAAAATCGATTCCAATGGAGACAGAATCGCCGACTACTCGCTGCTCGACATGGACCCCGAGACGGGCGAGTTCAAGGTGTGTTGTAGTTCGGCCCGTCTAATTGCCTCGCTCGCGATATCATTATCTAAAACAAACGGTTCCCAGTTTGCGCCCTTGTCCTTTTGCTGCTTTTGCGAGCCCTTCTTTTTTGGGAAAGTTTTGGGGCGGGGCCTCGGCAAATGACGCGCAGGTAAAATTATCTCTCCTCCACTCCGTAATTTGAACATTGTTCCCCGTCAGCAAGGGGGGAGGCATGGGGGTCTCGCTACGCCGGGGCGCTCAAGGGACGGTTAATTGATACATTCAGGGAGTCAACACGGCCCAGAGAGGCGGGGCGCGAAGGGGCGCTCTGCTCGCCCGGCCGCGCTGCGCCACGGCTGCGGCTAACCTTCCACCCCTCTTGTGTGTGCACACGTGCACTTTGCCTCTCGCTAAAAATCCCTCTTTCTCTCGCGCGGCGCCCTTTTACTCTTCCTGCTGCTCTGCCTTTTCTTGCCTACTCAGGTTTGCTTGGAGGTGATCTCCTCATAGAAATAAGACGTCAGTCTCCTTGTCTTATATTTTTCCCCCCTCCTGTTATGGGGGCCCCTCCGGGGCGCGGTATGGGCGTTGCCGTGTTGTCTACGCGGCCCGTCCGCGCGGCTCCCTTCCCCTCTCACCACCTTTTCATTGTTTGTCACACTCACGCCCCTTGAATCTCCCTCGCTTCCGCTATATCCCCCCCCCCCTTTTCTGTTTGTGGGTCGCCACATGATGTGCCGGGGCGGGGCGGACGGCTCCAAAGGGACCAGGGCCCCACCGCTCCCTGCGCAGTGACACTCTTCAGCGGGAAGAGCAGGAGCCGTCTGCTTTTTTACATTTTTTTTGAGCCGACTATAAATAATAAAGACTCTTAGAGCCTCCGGGGGGTTCCCGCAAACGACCTAAAGCCCCGAGTCAGAGGACAGTTAGTCGTCACGTACAACAAACTGCACGCAATTCTATTTTTTTTTTATTTTGTGGGGACCGCACAGATTGTAGCCAACTACATCGGCGGCAAGCACCGGCTGGAGTACGTCCCTGACCGGCAGATCCACTGGTCGGGCGGCCGCACCGAGCCCCCCGCCGACACGCCCCTGTGCGGCTTCGACGGCAGCCTCTGCCCAGACAACGGTAAGTCCAGCGACGTGTGACAGGACAGGAGGAGGACGCCGTCGTGGAGGACGTGCCACCCCTGTTCGAGGCCCCCGATGACCGCTTCCCCATTGTTTTGCAGCCCTGCCCGGGTACGCCATCCTCAGCATGGTGCTGAGCTCCGTGGTCGTCGTGCTGGCCGTCGCGTCCTTCTTCATATACAGGTACGTCGACCGGCTGAGCATCGAATGACGGACGGGTGCGCCGCCCCGAAGGCCCGGACGGCCCCCGCCAACCTCTGGGCCGAGCGGGGAGGCCGCCCAAGCACCGTAGCCTTTGGCTCGTTACAGCACCTTTCCGTTTTCAAATCTTGTACAGCTAGTCCAAAATTGACCCATCCCCCCCCCCTTCTCTCTCTCTTCCTCCC